TAATAGCGTTGAAAGTTGGGTGTAGATTTCGAGCGATATTTTGATGAAAAAAGTGGTTATTGTGCGACAACCTTAATAGATAGATATATGCGATCGCGGACTTTTATTTAGCAAATTTAATGGGCTACAATTCTTCCATACATCATTTTTATGTAAGTCTAATAGTTTAGGCTACGTAAGCAAAGAAAGCAAAAATGACCCGAAATTTCGTCGCGCGATTTTGAGCTAAACTATTTAACTACGTCGTAGTCTTAGACTCCAAAAATTAAACAAAAAAATGGGACCCACCTGCAAGCATTACCTTTCGGATAAAAAAAGAATTATCCAAATCGGTCCACTAGCGGCGGAGTTATGCCGTAACACACATAAAAAAAAAATAAAAAAAAAATATACCGACGAATTGAATACCTCCTTCTTTTGGGAAGTCGGTCAAAAAGTATTAAAATAACAAAAAAAGCATAGTCTCATTTTCCTTGCAAAAATGTGTTAGATGTCATGTAACCGAGAACCGAAATTTTTTCATCTATACTAATATTATAAAGCGGATAGATTTGTATTTTTGTATGTATTGAAATAACTCAAAAACTACTAGGCTGATTTCAAATATTCTTTCACCATTTAAAAGCTACGTTTTTAGTGAGTAACATAGGGTATATTTTTTACTGTCATGCGGGCGTAGTCGCGAGCAATAGCTAGTATTTTATATCTTTTACATTGAGATTATCCAGGCACGTATTCAGGCTTCAGGCTATTGGATGGACGGTAAGGTTGATATTGGATGTACGGTACGGTAAGTACGGTATAGTACGTGTAGTGTGTACTATATGTACTTACTTGTCCTTCCTCGCGCGTAGTGCTCGTATGGGGGACTTGAAGGTGACCTCTGCGCTGAACGCGCGGCGCTGGTCATCGAGCAGCAGTAGACAGCAGGGCCGGCGCGCGCGCACCACCAGCAGCCAATTGGTGCGAAACACCATCTCGCAGAGTGAAACCTCGCCGAGCTCCTCTTTGCCTGACATAATGTATAGTAAAAACTCCGCGTAGTGGCTAACACTTGTAATGTACCCCCTAGACAAAGTGACTTTCGATTAGCGATGTCGCTTGTAGCATCGACAAAATGTGTCAAAATGTGTAGGTATAAATACTTGACAAGCACGTGACTTATCAAATTGATTGTCACTTCCATACATTTTTGACTTTTCGTTTAGCATTGGCGATAATCGAATGCTACTTTGTCTAAGGGGGCAGGTAGTACTTCATCTGTGTTTTTTTTTTAATATTCGAATATCGAAACTGCTGTTTTAGAGCGCCTAAGGAGTGACTAGGCTAATCAACCACGCTGGCGTATTTTTTGTATTTCCCTTCACCGTAAGAACGTCACATAAAAGTATTTAGATAATCAAATTGGTATACGGCCGGAATCGAACCGGGACGTGTAGATTCTGGTCTAGTTAAGAGTTTAACAACTGCGTTACCGAGGCTCTACAATTATGACATTCTTACGACGTAGGAAAACTACCTGAACATATTTGTGTGTATTTTCAAAGATTTGTGTGAGGACACTAACGAGGAGGATTACCCAAATATACTCTACCATATATTGTTGAAATTTACGACTTCTAGTAAACAAATTAGTTTGTCTATGGTAAATATTAATTCGAGTGTGGATTAGAAATTTAGATACTGATTGAGTTGTATTGTTGATACTTTAAAAAAAAAGTTAAGCCACTTTCTATAGTTACGATAGAAATGCACTACAAAACGACATGTTAGGATTAAGTATTGCAACTTATTAAGTTTAAGAGAGCGGCGAGACAGGGGCATTCACCTGACCGCGTGCAAACAAAGGTCGATCGCCTGTATCATGTGTTTCTTTTAGTTTGTGTAAAATGCATTTGCATGTACACCATATTTTATAGTAATTCCATATATTTATTTCGGGATATCAATTTTATTATCTACATCAATGATAAAATTTAAGTATTTTATTTTAAAAACAGCTTACGAATAACTGTATTGGCTTGGGTCAATGAAAACTTTATCGAACGAGAAATCAAAAAAGGACGTTCACCCTACATGACACACCTACTCAAATAATTACATTGCAAAGACTTTAAATAATACAAGAAATCCTTTAAATACATTGCAACACTATGAAAATTGATTTCAATATTGCTCGGCTCCTAGCAGTTATAGCGTGAATATATATACTCTGTAATATTCCTTGATAACTAGACTATCAAACACAAAAAGAATCAATCTATTTGAACAGGAAGTTCCTGAGTTTTGCGGCTACAAACAAAACACGCTTATTTCACTCATTTCAGTAAAATGCCATTCCATACAATGAAATAAGATAAATAATGTATCATAGTACATATAGTGACAGTATATGAGTGATCTTAAGCGGGTTGTGAAATAAATTCTCTGACTATACTCACTGTAATGCGCCTTCTCAACAAGTGGGTCCACATTGTAAACGCGCAGGCCGGATGTTAGGCAGCAAGTGAAGCAGCCTGCATTAGACAAGCAACAAACAATCAAAATGAATTAAAGAGTGAGCTTCAACTGACATCTTAAGCTCTCTGTAAACTGGATTAAAGGGCTGACACAAAAGCAGTTGTTTTAGAAATAAAGTGCATTGTAAGTGTCCTTCTGCAGCCCTGACTGCTGACGGCCGAGTATCTATAAGTCTAAATGTAGATATTGTTCCCCAACTAACATGGATGCTATTCTTTGATGATGATATGAAAATGGTAGACTAGTAACAACATCTGTTGCATGAATTGGCTTGCCCGGTGCATACCACATAGAACGCAGGTCTGAATTTGAAGTCAATCTGCATGTCATCTAATAAATAGGCATTCGGGAGAATTAAATTTACCCCTTAACAATCTTTTCTTATTACAATGGAAAGGTGATATAGATTTATCAGAACTGAGAACAAATAGGTAGGGAAAATGTGCTTTTTCTGTGGTATCCACAGAGAAAGGATCCTTTCCCTTTGTCAATTAAGCATAGACAACACATCTGTTTTTACATCTATGGGTATCAATGTCTCGCTATTTCAACTAATACAACCTTCTTCCTTGTTGGGAAACAACTTGTATTAAAAAATTATAATGAAAAATTAGTGAAAGTATATATAAACAGAGATAAACTTCAATCAATCTAAATGTAACCATGAGTTTGCATTATCAAAATAACATACTAGAACATATAGTCATCTCCCTCATTTGGTTGGGGAAAAGGGAGATAGCAACATCAATTGTATGTGTCTCAGTGGAAAATTACACTAACAATATGCTTGTTAGCAAAAATATTTGATTAAATCTTAGATACCCTTTACCGATAAAGATACAGAAAAGATTTAAGCCTTTTTTTAATCTTTACCATATTAAATTCATATTCATTCTGTCTATAATTTTCTGATAAAAATTTCTTTAATATTTAAAACTTATGAAATTATAAGTAATAGACTGAGATGACATATAGTTATTTAGAGGACAAAAACCTGTTGCACCGACCCTATATAATGATAGGGATTAGAAGGATGATGATGATTATAAGGTATAGCAAAATAGTCTTTTGTAGAGTTACTAACACTGAGTAACACTATAAAAGACAATAATTCCATAGATTAATATTTCCTACAGCAAGATTTTTACATCATATAATTTAAAAAAATCAATTAAGGTTTCTTTATTTAATTGTAATAGAAATAAGCTAAAATAAATTATTTATGGTAACATTTTTTTAACTAAAAGTCCACTGTATAATGGCGCGTTAATTTTATTGCGTATTAAATAAACAATAACAATAGAGATGAAGCAACTGCCATCCAAGAGAGAAAGCATGCAAACAATAGCAAGCTAGATAGCAGAGTGAACGAAAACATTGCGTGGGTGTGCACCTAAATATATAAACAACACGTGGAGTGGTGACGATCAAAAAGCGTGGCGGGATGAAACTCAAACGCAACAAAATTGTACAAATATCCTTAATTAACTTTGATATCTCTAGATACTAACGCTTAGGTCATCAAAATCATGAATAATCCACCACGCTAACCACACGAGAACAAAGAACGCGGGTTGACGAACTAGGAAGTAACACAAACCTTGGTCCTGGTTAAACCCCAGGCTTGTGATACCGCTGCTCCTCCGACGCGCCATGTCTCTTCCAACGTGAATTTATCATAAACATTTAGTTGTTTTTTTATCAATTGTCTCAGTGGACATTTTCACACCGATAATTTAAATACGCACATTTGTTGTGTTACATGTTCCCAGTGTGGGATCCACAGCTGATTTGATGACTGATCTGATGACAGCAAAACATACCAATGTTGCCATTTAAATTGTACGTTTACAAACTTTTTATTTTTATTACGCAGTTGTCAAAAGTTAAATAAAAACAGAAGTTTTGTGACAATGTTTTCTTTAAATCATTGAAATTATTTTCTTTAATGTAAAAGAACGACATCTGATATTTTTAATATAGTAGTTTTATAAACTGTAATTTTTTTGTCATATATTAGATGAAGAAAGTCAATTACACGAACATTTACTGTTCATAATCGTATAAAATTGATTATAGGATGTAAAGGTCGTTAAATGTGATTTGTTCACTTTGAAAAAAATAGTTTACAATGTATTTTACATTTAAAATAATGTGACAGGTATTTTTTTGTGCAGGTAATATAAAATCATACAAATACTGACTGACTGTAATGCAAGCTCTACAGAAATCAAAACAAACGACAAAAATTTAAAACTTCAAAATGTTTTTATCTTCTCTCTTTGAAGAAATTTTGTTACAGATCAAATTTTTGGCATCAAAAGCAGTTCTAAATTATGTAGGGTGTCAAATTGCAAAAGTAGTAATAATAAATCTCAAATATATTAAAGTGATATCATAAATATTGTAAGTGACATATATTTTTAAGTAAATTCTTTGCTATTATTTCGAATACAACATTAAGGTTTTAATATACTTTTAGATTAGCAATGGATTCTTTCAATTCCACTACAAGTGCTGATTTTAACTGGCCATTTCCGAAACCTATAATAGGAAAGTGAGTTACAACACACAATAATAATAACTTTAAACTCATGTTTATACTAATATTTTTATAAAAATGATACTAGCTCTGGCAACATTTTTATGTAACTAAATTCAAAGACAATTAAAAAGTTCACATTTCCAGGCCATGTGAGCCACCAACTCCGAATGCCCCGCCGAGGACTCGACCCGCGCCAGTGGCGCCATATTGCCACTGCGACGCGCATTCGTACTCGCCTCGAGTCGAACAATATAAACAATTGTTGGATAAAGAACAGAAATTATGTCACGACTATGAACAACTAAGGCAGCAGGTATATTATAATTTTACTATGTTAAAGTAAAACTTAATACAGATTTGACGATTGCCAAAGTTTGAGTAGGGCGCAGTTGGTCGACAGCCCAGGGCTTTGTCAGCAAATTACAGTTTCATAAGCCTGTGTACCCCTCCCTCTTCAAAGAATAGTAAATGGGGGCGTCATTAAAATCTTACCCAGGGTGCTAGAAGCTCTAAAACTGGATTTTACCTTGAATTAAACAATTTGATAATACAAACGTCTAAGACGTAAATTGGATTACATATTTTATTTATATTTGTTATAAATAAGCACTAAAAATAAATTATTAAAAACGGTTAGCAAGCGTTAAAAGCACTATTTAAAATGTATTTGATGTTTTCAAAACGCTTGCCAAATAATCCCTGAATTGTAAACAGGATTTTCAATGTTTGCGTGGTTGTTAAAATTGGAGTTTAAAACTGTTTTGTTTTATTTACGTTAAATTGTAGATGGTGAGCGTGACTAACGATATACTAGACCATCCGTGCGATGACTTGGATACTAAAATGGAGACAATGTATCAAGCAACTTATAAAAAGAGATGTAAGCTATCTTTTTACATTTTAATCTTTATTACTGCCAGTAATTCAACAACTAATTGTGATTTTTAAGAGAAAAATATATTCAAAGATAATGTTCTTTTTTTAAATTGTTTCTTACCAGCCTTTCCAGTCACGGATTACACAAAAGTAATGGCTGCCACACAATCGAACGCGCCCATCCCTATGGAAAGTCATAGACTAGGCATGCTCAGATGCTATAAAGATCCAACACACTTTTCTGAGCCGCCTCCAACCGTCAGACCGACCATAGAGCCGCCAAGTCCCGTCCACACTGGAGTCGCACCAAAGACAATGAAAATCTGGTTCGGAGAATTCCCCGGCAGGACGGAATATATGGATGAGTTTAGTGCCACAGCTAAAGCCAATTGGCGATCTATGCAGAGGTACAAAGAGCCTTTGCCTTCAACTAGACGAAGGGCTGATGACAGATGTGTATAGTCTGTATTGTAATCATTGTACGTTCCATTTTTGTTATGGATTTTTGTACATTGTTTCATCGAAATGCTTAAATCTGCACGGCTCTTTAACCAGCCAGATATTTAATAGTCATTTACATCGTATTACAGCAATTTTGAGAGCCTTATTTTGGTTTCTCTTTGTCACTTTTTAAGCGTTTTGGTGGCTTTATAACCTCTTTAAATTTATTGTGTTATGTTGGAACTCTAAAATAAAAAATGCAACGCTATAAAAAAAATGGTAAAATGAAAATTTTGCGCATTTAATATGTGCAATCATAAAAATAAGAAAAAAAGATTTTTAATCTATAAATACCTATGTTTAAATACCTATAAAATAGTAACATGTTAATTAGCTTTGCATTTTTAATGATTATAAATTCGTAACGATTTGTTTATTTGTAATAAATATTTGTTGTTATTTTCATAGATATTCAAATATCTTATTTTCAAGTAACAAGGAGTAAAATAAATGAATCATTTCTTTAAAAGGGGAAGATAAAAATGAGTTTTATTTTGCGTCCCTGGTATTGTCAAATACATATAACCTAAAAAATGTAAAAACTGCCAAAACATTTTGTTTAACGATATAATTTAGGTAGTGGAATCTTGCGAGAACAAACTCTACGAAATACTTGAAAAATCTTTTTGTCTATAAGATTTCAATTTAATAATCGTAACTAAATCATGATGCCTGCACATATCGGCGAAGAAATTCAAAGATATGTGTGAAGTCAACCAACCCGCAGTGGGCCAGCGTGGTTGTCTATGTCCTAGTCACCCCTTACTTAGGGTAGGCTCCGAGCCCCTCGGTGGGGACGTATAGTGAGCTGGTGATGATGATGATGAACTAAATAGCATTGAAGAAAGTATTTTGTATAAACACTTTAATTAGGATGTATTAAGACGTTGATTGCAACTTCGTCGTCCGCTTTCGATAATGGTTTACATGATTGTACAAATGTAGAGAACAACGGAAATGTCCTCCAAATGTAAAAGAAATTAAACAACAATTAACTACGTAGTTTATTTATTAGATTGTCACTAAAATAAGATTTTATTATGTACCTTGGCATATCAACAACCCGTTTGTAGAAGCCACCGTCCGTTTCTGAATTCTAACATTTATTAATCGGTCTATCAATGTTGAAGCAAATGTCTCAATTTTAAGTGTTGCCATCTTCATCTTGTGCTATTCAGTGATCTGAAAAAAATGATTAAAAAAAATATAACACTATAGAAGTAATATCAAAGTTTACCCTAGACATTTTTCTTTCTTATCTATACCCTCATACGTTAAATCCTTTTTCTTTCTCCTTAACATCTTAGTTTTATATTTCCAAAAAAGAGTATTAGAATAGGCTCTCCAGTATTTCACTCATAGGAATAAACAAAACGTTACTTCAAGCCTTCTGTAAAGTAGTGGTGTAACAAATATTCACTAGACACCAATAGTTTTTACGTACAAAACTAGATGGCGCCACCTGTATTTTAAAACGCGATGTGGTATTGCATGCGCCTTATGTTATGTCATTTCATGTACATACGCAAATCAGAAGATCAGAAGATCAGAAGGTCAGAAGATAACAAATATTGTTAAAATTACTGTCTTCTCAAGTTAGTTCCTACGACGCGATTCTGAGTATACTAGCTTGCTGCCTTGTGACTAATTTTACTCAGAACTTGCACAGTAGTGTAGTTAAATTAGGTTGCTTGCGGATAGTGACGGCCTAATTTAGCAGGTAACCGCTTGCTGTTCTGTGACGGTTACCCGATATTTGAACACTTTTTGTAACTGCGTGTGGTTCCCAACCCGGGGTACGCGCGCAGACCAACCTAATTGGTATATAACCAATAAACGACTTTTTGCCGCCTTGTTGCTGTGTTTTCTTTGGCTGTTTCGGCCCAAGATACCCCTGCTCTTATTATAGTGGTAAATAAGATGAAAAATTAGTTTAAACTTCCACTGTTTAATAAATACTAGCTGAAATTAAAAAAAAAAACTCTATATTACTCACTGATAAGCTTTTGAATGGTGAAAGAATTTTTGAAATCGGCCCAGTAGTTTTTGAGTTATTTCAATACATACAAAAATCCCAAAATACTAATTCTCTTTATAATATTAGTATAGAAAACTCACCTGATAGCACTAGTAATTATGCTCCATAATCTAGGCAATAGGTAAGGTATATAATTATTATCCATAATAAATGCTAAAAATCCAGCAACCAGTTGTAAAAAATTAAACAACGCTGCCATTGCTAACGTTTTCGGTATCGACATTATGGTAACAATTTTTCTCAAAACGTGCGTAAGAATTATATTTTTTAAACTATCAAGAATGTTAGGTTTTGCTTGTACTAAATCTCTGTTATTACTGAAATCTTCGTCGTTCCAATTGTTAAAAGGTTTGCTAGAAGCGTCTATCAAATTAGGCTTTAATGACGTCACCAGAGCCATAACAGTTAACAAAAACTGCAAAAGAAAACATGATTAACATTTTGGTACACTTTAGAAATACAGATTATACAGTCTTAGCGTATTAAAAAAAACAAACGTAATAAAATTCAACTTACTGTAAAATAGTTCATTGTCAACAGATAAAAAATCAAAATCAAATTATCTTTATTCTTACAACTTTATCGAATAACAAATAATTTAAGAATGATATAGAAAATTCATAGTTCGTTAAGAACACCTATAATTATCGGTATTATTTTCTATTTTATTAATTAATGGTTATTATTAATTGATTATCGAATTACAATTATTATTAATAAATTATCGAATAATAATTATTATTAATTAATTATAGAATGCTGAATCATTTCAAATTTCAATTTTTGGAATATCTCATATAAGTTTAGAAAGTGAATATTTAAAACCAAATCCGCCATGTTTATTTTTTTATGCCTTTAGCATTTTATCATTGAAATAAAAATAGACAAGACTTTAGTAGATTGAAAAATATGTAACTAGTTAATAATTTCTGTCTAGTCTAACCAGCGACTTCTTGTTATCAAAAGAACAAAAATTTCTGTACAAAGCTTTATCACCTCATTAGTGAGTACGATAAAGGGTTCCTTTTTAGTAAGAATAGCTTTGTTAATTGATAAACTATAATGTATTAATAAAATTGAAGCGTCTATATGCTCTATGTAATATGAATAAAAACATGTATTTCATACACTTATAATTGCGTTCCTGAATATTTTTTTTATTTTTGCCCGTTGGCAAGTCCGCGTTTGTTCCGGGTGTTATTTTTTTATAAGAATAGGAGGCAAATGAGCGACAGGAACACCGAATATGCTGTAATTGCTGATATATTAAGCAACAAAGAAGTATGTGTTTACGCTTTATTATAATACAGTATAGATAACAACTTAAACTTAAATTAAGTCACGTTCGGACTAAACATGTCTATGATAGGAGTATGAAAATGTTGTAATGAAACATCTTCGTGAAATTCTACATTTACCTTTTTGTAATAATTATATTTTCATCCTTTTATATTTAAATGATTTATTAAAATAACATCACTAAGTATTTTGACAGTTGCTTTCGATTTGCAGTAGTCAGTATTACTAAAAACAAAACATCCAGAAATAGAGTTGGCACATCATAACAAGAGTACTCTTATTCCCGATGTGCCAACTTAAATTCCATTTAATACCTAATCGATTTTAGGAACAATTGGTGTTTTTATCTTAATCTTTGGAAAGAATTTTTACATCAAAGTGAGTCGATGATGTTTTAGACGTTGAATGGTTGTCTTTAACGTTATCTAAATTGCATATTTACAATACGTTAGTATTTATTATTTCTTGATGTTCGTTATAAGTATGTGGTAATCAGGTAACTATATTTTTTGTAATCATCAGATATTTGTCTTGTTAGGTTTGATATTTTCTCTTCGTTGTTTACTATTTCTTCTTTGAGATTGTGTTCGTCGTTGCCTGATGGTGTGGTTTCCGGTGAATGGAGAACGAAACTGTTGATTTGATGGTTCAGTATGCAGAAGGATAGTACCAGGAGCCACTGGAAACAGTGAATATAAAAACAATAAGTTGTGTATGGTATTGCTTGGCACTTCTATATAGGACGCCTTTTCCTAATGTACGAAATGTTCAGTCTCAATCTCTCTCTAATAGTAAAAAATATAGCCTATGTCACTCACTAATAACGAAGCTTTTTAATGGTGAAAGGATTTTGGAAATCGGTCCAGTAGTTTTTGAGTTATTTTAATAAAAATCTGTCTTTAAATGATTTGGATAGATTGGGACTTTTAAATGTGTGTATAAAACATTTTTCCTATCTCAGGTTTGTCAAAGATCGTATGTGATTGTTTCGTCTCTACAAAGTTAACTATTATACGGACATTATATCCAAAATATCGTCAATATTCCCAACCGTCACCCCGTTCTGTCCCCACGTGGAGACAGATGAAAATGAAAAGTTTCATTCGTCCCACATTTTGCGACAAGGTGACGGTTGGATCTTGTTTCATAACGGTTCCATCTATCACCTTATTGGTGATAGTGGGACTAAAACATGGGACGGATAAAACTTTTTATTCTCACGTGAGGACAGAGCTGGGTGACGGTAGGCAATAATCCCCACGAATACGGTCAGCTTACATCTTACTAATATAAAGGCTTACGGGCTCAACGGATCTCGATGTTTAGAATAGTCTGGAAGAACATACTATTTTTTTTTAATTTCACGCAGACGGAGTCGCGATCGAAGTATAGTTTTAAGATTTATGACTATTTCTAATTTTGTATCTGTTTAGAGTTGGAGATGTTACCGAAATAGATACTAGCACTCGAGTTATTTCAAATTCACGTGTCTACTTATTTATTTTAGAGACAAGATATTCTCGCTTAGTAAAAAAAAACTCCTTGTAAGTACAAATATTCACTATTTATTATAAATTTTGTCTATTGTATATAGGTCGTTAGACAAAGCAGGAAGACGTTGCCAGGTTTACTCTAGACTCATTTGTAATTGTTTCTCGGAAACAAATTAAAAAATATCAAAGGAGACGTTTAAATAATGACATTATATTACTTAGAAACGTAATGTTAAGTGTTTTTTTTTATAAAATATTATTGGAAGTGCATTTTTATCCCTTTCATAAAGTTATGATAATTAAGAATGGTAGAATTCGTACCTGCTGTTAGGTTGGTTCGAATTCCGGACCGTACAAGTTTAAATTAGACACTTACATCTAAAAAAAACCTTAGTCATTTAAAAATATACAGCGTAACACTTCCTAGCCCAATTCTTACTACGTTATAAGTTACTAGCTGTTCCCGTGCGACTTGATCCACATGAAATTATGAAAATTTTATTTTATTGTTTACATTTGTCAAATTATCAATTGCAAATGTAAAAATGACATGACATGATGTCCAAACATGGCAACTTTGCTTCCTTGATCTTGGCAACAACTTATGGTCTCTTTCCCAAATCAGGGTTTTTATACAAATAATTTACTCCCTAAGTTTAATGGCGTGTAAATATATAGCCTAAAGCGTGACGTAAGTGTAGGGCTATTTATTATATAAAGAATTATTCAAAAACATGCTGTAATTGCTGACATCTTAAGCAACAAAGAAGTGTGTGTTTAAGCTTTATCATATTAGTATAGATTAGATTTTGCCCGCGACTCTGTCTGCGTCGAATTAAAAAAAAACAAAAGTAAGTAGCTTGTGTTCTTCCAGACTATATTCTATATCTAAGACTTTCATTGAGATACGTTCAGCTGTTTAGGCTACAAACATCCATCCATGCATCTACACTTTCGCATGTATTATGTTAGTAACATTGTATTGCATACGTACAATACATACATATAACTATGAAGAACATTCTAGAATGGTAGATATAATTGTTTGTCAAAATTATGTCAAAGATGATAGTTGAGGTTATGTTGAATATACTCTATATTTGATATTATTCTATGTACACGCTGATTACGTAATAAATAGGAATACATACATGTAATTTATTGATGACTAGCTTTCGCTCGCGAATCCGTCCGCGTAGGATTAAAAAAAAATGAGTAGTCTATGTTTTTTTCCAGACTATTCTCTATATCTATACCAAATTTCATCGAAATCCGTTTAGTCGTTTAGGTTACTAACTCTAACAAACATCCATCCATCCATCTAAACTTTCGCATTAATAATATTAGTAAGTATGATTTAAAATATATATAAAAAAGATTTGTAGTACTATAACTACTTTGAATAATGTCCTTTATTATATGTAGAGTTAAAATAACATGGAATATTCCTAACAGAACATCAGGTAGGAATAAAATAATCTGAAGGGTAAGGTTAGAAAAAAAATTACCTGTATACAGAACAAATTGAATGAAAAGGACAGAGAATGAAAAAAATTTCGATAAGTGAACAAAAGCCGTGATTTTGGTCATAAAGATCCTTACTTTTAGCTACATTATAAATTTACTTTTAAACAATAAACGACAGAACAAAAATAATTCGAAACAAACGCGTGTCCTACTAAACTTAATTTAAGCCTAAAAGTGACACACGACTTATCGTCGGCAAAATTAAATTAAACCGAAGGACATGACTAATTCCCGCCGGACATCGCGCAATATCTAATTTACGTTTTTTAAATTTTACTTAAAAATAAACAACAACATATTGTGTACTTTTGTCAATCACAAACTTTAAAAAGGGTTAAAAATAGAAACAAAGAAAAACGGTAAAAAAATAAACATATCTACGGTTCATAGCGATAGATAATACAATAAATAGTATTCTGTTCCAGATACCAAAGTCCAAATTAAGCGTTAACAAGCTACGTTATTAAATAAAAACGAGGGTAATTAATAAGTCTACAAAAGTTTGTGGAAGAGAACATTTTTAAACAATAAAAGTGAAAAAAAGTACAGATTATAATTAAAAAAAAAAAACTGCTCACCAAGTTCCGTGCCATGCTGCCAGTATCATAAATGACAACTGTTTTATAATTGTTACTGGCCAGTAATAAATAATTGTCTACTCATGACAATGTTTGGCGCTATTTTGTTGGCACGGCGCGTGCGTTACTTGTGAGCGCGGTTTCGGGAATGAATGTACATTTATTTATGTGTTCTCCAAATTCAGTGGACACGCGTGGTATGTAAACAAACACATCCCAATAATTTCGTTGTTATGATTAAGTAATTGTTAAAAACGATAACAATTAGTACAGAACATACTTAAGTAAACAAGCTAGTATTTAGATAACCTAAAATATGGCATAACCTAAAAAATATTTACAAATTTATGTCGTGATCGTCTAGCTTTAACTACCCATGTTATTGCCTGATTCGACGTAAAATAGCGTAATTATTTCGTCAAATTATTAACTACCTACTACGAATTATTTAATTTAATGAATATAATAATTACTAACTAGTTATGACAGATGACGTAAGATAGAGCTATGAGACTACGGGAGTAGGATAAGGAGAAACAAATTATCTTTATAAAGATTTTTTTATAACAGGAAACTAAACATACTTAGAGTTCGCTATTTTGATATCAATATATTTGAATAAAAACTATAATTCCATATATTATCTCCAATGTACGTGACAACTTGTGCGATTGTCGATTGTTTCTCAGCCAATTCAACTGTTTAGTTGCACAAGTAAACATCGAGTAATGTGCGAATCAAAGCCAGACTAAACAGTTGTTCGATAGTTTAGTGAAAGGTGTGCGTACGCTATTATTGTTAAACAAGAAAAAAAAATGGACTTACGGCGAATGTTTTCTTACATTGAATTAAGCAATAAAAGAACAACGCGCGTTTTTTCACATTTCTAGGTCAAATAAGATTTATTTTTGTCATTATTGTTCGTATATTTAGATTTGCTTGTAGCTATGATTAATTTTAGATTTAAAAATTGAAAACTTTAATACAAGGTTAAATTACATTGCATATCAAATTTTTAACACTTTTTATATTCCGGACCTCTGGCTTAAAAAGTATTTTGCTTACGTTTATTTTAAAACTATTAAAGTCAACAAACCAATCCTGTCAAAACTGTCATCTATTCGGCCTTAACAAAATTATCAAGTATTTTTTAAATAATCATGAATTAAACACAAAAAAATATGATACTACAGCGTCTGTTTTTAGCAATACTCTGTGCTATAAACGCACCCAAAACACAGCGGTGTACCTTGAATACTAGAATACATTTCGGCCAACCGTTACCAGTTATCTTAAGATATGGCCAACTGTTGGAACCAACTGATAATAACGGCAACGTAATCATACAATCCGGAGAAAGTATAGTTCTAAGCTGTATCGATCAAGGCAGTATTCGTAATTCACATTCTATCCAAGGGAAAAATACGGCAATCATTAATTGCATCAATGATGACGTATTTGGAAACGATGAATGGTTAAATTCTCCATCAAGATTCAGTGAATTTAAATGTATTAGTCCACCTTCATATGTAAGCAATCGTACAAACCGTACTTGCTTTGAAGATAATATAATCTACGAAGTAGGATACTATATAGATAATATTTTCTATCCAGTTTACGAATCTTGCTTCAATGAATTGGAACTAAATGCAATATATTCCAAATACACACAGAAGCCTTATAACGCAGTATACCAAACTAGAGTTGAAAGGCCATTTTTTATAGATAATAATGTATATGGATATATTCCTGTTAATTCGATATTCTCACCAGCGGGACAGAAGAGCGCTGTCGCTCAACTTGTTGGTGATAGAGTAAACACTTATGTAAACAAAACAGAATTCCTATCAAGAGGACATTTAGCTGCTAAAACTGATTTCGTATTAGCATTCGGTGAACGTGCAACATTTCATTACGTGAATTGTGCTCCACAATGGGTTGGTTTTAACGGGGGTAATTGGAATACTTTGGAAGTAGATTTACGGAACCATATACATGATGTAGGGTACAATACAATTGTTTATACAGGTACTTTCGGTGTATCACAACTAACTAATCAATACGGAACAGCAGTCGAAGTATACCTTCACACAGATGTGAATAATAATCCAGCGATTCCAGTTCCGAAATATTATTATAAAGTTGTATATGAACCGATTAGTAAGCGTGGGATAGCGTTTGTGGGTATTAACAGTCCTCATTATACAAAAGAGGAGGCGCAGGATTTATTCTTCTGTCCAGATTTATGTAGAGGTAATAAAGATTTCTCCTGGCTGACATGGCATCCGGATCTATCTACTGAAGGCTATACGTTTTGCTGCACAATTGAAGATTTTCGAAGAACTGTACATCATTTACCGGAGTTTGAAGTTACTGGTCTTTTAATTTGAAATAAGAAATGTTTTAAAGAATCTAATGAAAGATTTGTAGCCAAAATAAATGTTGGATTATGGCTGCAAATGATTAGAATTTTCAAACAGTTTAGAATATATGAATGCAGGTTAACTGTTATTGTTTTAGTTTCGTAGTTCTGCTTTCACGTGGGAAATTATAAGTGAATCTGTCGTATTTACATTAAGGTACATCATAACATATAAGTTGATATAATTAAGATTTTACGAAAACCAATTTTCATTTCAAGAATAAAATTTTAAAACTAAGACTAAGTAAACAGAAACAAGAAATTAAATTCTATTTCATTTGAATTTTGTTGATTAAAGAAATTTTGATAACCAGTTCAATTATAATACATCAATGTTACAACTTTTTTATAAATATAAAATTACTAGCTTTTGCCCGCAACTTCGTTTTTGCGGAATTATAAAAACATTGTTCCATACTGTTCTATATCTGCGCCAAATTTCATAGAGAAACAATAAACTGTCTTCGATAGTAACATCCATCCATCCAAACATTTATTACATTAGTATGATAAATCTATACTTCTCTATCTATATCTATACTAATATAATAAAGCGTAAACATACACCTACTTTGTGGCGTAGGATATCAGCCATCACAGTATATTTTTAAATAATACTTTCTTTAATAAAAAAAAACCCTACTTACGACACGCTTTAGGCTATATATATTGACGCTATTAAGCTCGGGGGATAAATCAATTGAAAAAAAAACTTCAAGTGGGAAAGGGACCATAAACTACAAGCTGCCAACATTAAGGAAGCAAGGTTGCGATAGTTTGTCATCATGTCATGTCATTTTGACATTCGCAATTGATAATTTGACACACGTGAACAATGAATTAAAATTTTCATAATTTAACAGCTAGTATTATAAAGTTTCTTGTAAATAATATGTTTTCGGGTGAATGTCCCCTCTGAGCGACATTATCGCCGCTTCAAATGGACTCGACATCATGACCCCACGCGGAAACAACTATATTATTACATACCAATTAATTTCCATGTATATTATTCCTGTGTTTATTGTTTATCTTATACTGGCTGTTCCCGTGCGGCTTTATCCGCATGCAACTGTAAAAACTTTATTTTATTGTTTACGTTTATCAAATTCTCAATTGCAAATGTCAAAATACTAATTACCTAACTATGGCAATCTTGCTTCCTTGATGTTGGCAATAACTAATGATCTCTTTCTCACATTAGGGTTTTATACAAAACATTTACCCTAAGTTTCATGTCGTGAAAATATATAGCCTAAAGCGTGATGTAAGGCTTTTGATTAAAAAAAGAACTATTCAAAAATATGCTGTAATTGCTGACATCTTAGGCAACAAAGAAGTGTGTGTTAACGCTTTATTATAATAGTATAGATACGATAATAAAGGCTTCCCTTTTCCAACAAAAGGTAGAAAAGTGTTTACAAACGTTAACAATTATAATACAACTGTTAAATAAATAAAAACATAAGTTTCGGTAAACAAATATCTAAAAGAATTGTATTTATTTTGATTTTTGAATGCCAAATAATAGGAGTGTTTTTGAATGTACAATTATCGTAAAACAATAGGTGTTTGCCCGGTTTCTGAAAGCTTATTAGCTTAAAAATGAAATTTCAATTATGGTTAAGTTCCAATAAAGTTTTTACTTAAATCCTAGTAACTTATTTTCGTTCAAACACTTGTTTAGAAAGATATATCTATACTATTATAATAAAGCGTAAACACACAATTCTTTGTTGCCTAAGATGTCAGCAATTACAGCATGTTTTTGGATAACTCCTTTTTTTAATAAAAAGCCCTACACTTACGTCACGCTTTAGGATATATATTCACGCCATTAAACTTTGGCGGTAAATATTTTGGATAAAAACTGTAATATGGGAAAGAGGCCATAAGTTGTTGCCAACATCAAGAAAACAAGATTGCCATAGTACATTTGCAATTGATAATTTCACAAATGTAAACAATAAAATAAAGTTTTTAATAATTTTATTCGGACGAAGCCGCACGGGAACAGCTAGTTGTCTATAAAGGTTATGGTAACCGTATTGTCATGAGAAAATAATTGTAATGTGTACTTATAATCTTTGTTAAGTCTATAGATTATGGTCGGGTCGATTTAAATTACTTTGTAATCTTTACTAATATTATAAAGAGAGAAAGATTTGTTTTTTTTTGTATGTATTGAAAGAACACAAAAACTATTGAGCCGATTTCAACCTTAACTATTATAAAGCTACGTTATCAGTGAGTAACTACATGTATTATTTTTTAATTTCACGCGCGAGAAGTCGTGAGCAACTAGTATGTTTATAAAGTTTCATTCTATTTCAAATGGATATTTTTATTCATTATACGTTACAGTTTATTTATCCAAATTCCATCGTTTTCGTTTTTGACAAAATTACTGTTTCTGTGTTTAAAGTTTTGCAAGAGTTTTTAGTTTCATGGTAAAGCTTAATGTGCGTTCGCGTAATGCTTAATGCCATAATCAATTACGTAATTACTTATGCATAGATCTACGATATAATAATGCTGCTCATTAGTGAATCAGATGTTATGGTTTTGTTACACGCGGATGGATTGTCTTCTCTCGACATTTATAAACTTAGTCGCCGAAGGACATAATTTTGTTATTGCTTGTTGCCTCATTACACAAATGTGATATCAGAAATGAATCTGCTAGTGGTAAGTGATGTTGTCAATTCAATTTTTCCATTTATTCACTCAAATTTATTTAAAAAAAAATTATTTATTTAGAATTGTGATTTTATATTTTCATTTTCTTTCCGGCCAGCACGAGTGAAAGTTGTGTTCGAGTGTTATTTATTATATTATATTGAATAATGTACGAAAAAGTGGCAATATTTTGTCGCGTTGTACAATTATTATTGATATGTGAAAGTGATAAAAAGCAGACGCCAGGGCATGATAAAGTACGTTCCTTATTACGAGAAGCTAAATTCAATAGGCGTGTTTAAATTATTTTTTTTAAAACCTTAATAATCTGCAGTTTTTTAATCTTTGTAGTAAAAAAAAAAAGTCTGGTCTTTTTATCGATGGTTCGCGTTCAAAGCCGTGATTAACGTTTTTAAAAATTCGGATTCCAATTTTGAAATGGCTGTTTTTTGTTTGATTTTCAATTTCTTCATTTTGTTGATAAAAGTTAGAAGTATGTCTATGGTAAATTTTTTACTTTTTTCGAGGCGTTATTGATAAATCTTTAACTATTTGGTTAATTTGTAAGCATTGTTGTGTTTTATAATAGTTTTGTCTACGTTTTTTATATTGTCATGTTTCTTTTGTTCTTATCCATTGTGTATGAGTGGAGATTAATTTATGAATTGTAGACCTATTTATTACATAATCATTGATTGTCTTTGAACTTCAATTTAAAAAGAATACGATCTATTTGTGAAATAATTCACGATTATGAAACGAATATAAAATTTTAAAACTTTCTTCCCGCTAAACCCCTCTTCATAAGTCGAAATTAAAACTACTTTACTACTACTCAAGAACATATTCTATGTATAGTATAGTATAGTATATATATAGTAATACAAATAACTATTTCTTTAGTAAAAGTTACATTGTTCTATTATTAAGACATTTTATGTTACAGATATTAATAGTGATGTCTCTGAGTGAGTCGATAACATCGACGGATGGCGTGAAACCAACTCGACCGAAGATAATAGACTTTAAAATACAACGAGATCCTGGCCTATTAGAGTACAACTCTTATTTCTTTGCTAAAGATCCAGAATTAACGACAACCACAGAGAAACGTGTTGTATCCTTACTAGGACGGAAAGTTAAAAGTAGAGATACGCATTTTGAAATGTATCCAACGAAGAAATTTAGAACATTACCTTACGAATCGACGAATAAAGTTGTAAGAGAAATACATTTAAGACATGCCAGTAATCGACGTGCTATTGTACAATTTAAAGGGTATACCTCAGTACCACAAAGCGAGAAATTTATCATTCGAAGAAACGCCTGCCATCACAACGAAATGTTAAAACAACGAGACTTGGTACAGAATTATATTAAAAATAATGATTTCTCTGATGATGTTGATATCAATACTGACATATCACCGATAGATACGCCAGCTGAGATAAAATTATTCCTACCTAAGAATAGAAAACATATAAATACACAAAATTTTTACAGTCACAAAACAAATTTAATAGACAGACCTATTTATTTCAATCCGAATCCTCGCGGTGATAATTCCGCTGAGACAGAAGATCAGAAAGAATTTATCTTTGTTAAAATACCTCGTATCGATTATGAAAATGTTGATGATAAAAAGAGTAAGAAAACAATCAAAAAGAGTATCTTTAAACATTACAGGTTATTCAAAAGGTATGTATTTTGTTATTTGTCTGTAATAAATATTGTTTTTAATTTTGTTTTAACCAATAATTGCATATCTTGTCAATAGGCGTATCTAAGAACCGTTTTGAGAAGGTACGGGGCAAAGATGGCTACGCTCTGTCTGTGCGGTTGGTATGAATTATTGAGTCATCATATCTACTCTTAATATGTTTGCTCCTGTTTGATTCTGCTCCTCTTATATGTAGTGTTCTTATGGGTGTTATACTTTTTTGTCTAGTTTTTTATCTTCAAGTTCATGCTTCCTTTGTCTCTACGGAGGTAGAGACAGTCGCTGCTCTTTCATACAACTCTGCCGAGATATCTGAATCCACTCTCTTCTTAATCATATCCTCTTTCTTATCCATACTTTCTTCGGTCTTCTACCTTTGTAGCCAACATTTAATCTTTAGATTATTAGTTTTAGATCTACAAATTAAGGTTTTTCTGCTGCAGAAGTAACTCAAAACTATTCCGGGGATTTCATTGTTTGCTAAATCTGTTCGGAATTTCTGATGAGTGTGGTGCCGTAGGCCTAATTTTAGTCCCTTTCCCTTTCAACCCTCTTCTTAACAGGGAAAGATGGGAAGGAAACGTGGACTTGCTGGCGGAGGAGACGTACAGGAAGAGGAAATATCCTATTTATGTGCGTCTCCTCTTTCGTCGATTAAGGGTAGGCAATTACGGATGTCTATGAGCAGCGGCCGCTTCGCCATTTCGGCGGATAAGATGACCGTTTGCTCGTTTGCCAACTTATAATATAAAAAAAATATTTTGTTTATCAATTGTTTTTTCTTCCAGTTCTTTTAGTATATTATTGCAGTTAATATTAATATTGGTCTAGAATCTTATTTTCTTTCGGTACTTTTGGGTCCTTCCATGTCGACTTTAGTATTTACTTCATTGTAATTTTATCTCTCTATTCAAATAATGCACTTTTTTATTTCGGTAAAGTCTAAAAGTTCCAAATTGTTTGTTACACATTCTAAGTCTATATGTTTGAATCTTTTGTTATGTCAATTTGTCTTGTTACAGAAATGTTATCGAAGAGGAACATCAAGCGACAACCGCGACAAGCTTCAAGCCATCCCTCGATTCTGAACTAACAAGTAGTTTAGTTTTCAATAATATTAACACCTAACAAAATATCCCAGAATGCTCAATAACTTTTAATTATGTATATTTAACTATTGTAATAAATAAAAAAAATATTTTTAGAAAGTTATTTATTGTGTTCTCTACAAAAACTTACAAATAAACACAACTACAATGTACATCCTTATCCTAAATATAAGTAATGGCAAAATAATTCTCCACGAACCTTACACGATAGCTATCTATTTACTCTGTTCCAAACGAAACTTTAAGGTCCTGTCCCAAAACTGGCTGATAGAGGCTCAGATAGCTTAAAAATCACTCATATAAGAGAACAAAACTCGACATTTCCATCACACATTTTACACGTTGGA